GACAAAAAATCCAGGAAAGATGTCAACTGGCAGGAGAAAAGTGTGGCTTTCTGAGGATTCTGGGGTAGTACATGGAGAAGGTGAGAAAAATGTACTGTCCTCAGAGAACTTACCTGGGCAAACTTGTGAATCTGTTCTACCACTGCAGCAAACAGAGCATGGACACTTTCATCAATCAGACTCTGCATGTAATGTACCGCCTCTTCATCTGACAGGTCTAGACGGAATTTATCCTGAACCTACAAGATAATAGTCTGTTTACAGTCTTTGTAATGAAGAAAAACAGCGGCATATTTTGAAGACACAGAATCAAACTGACAAAGACATTACAATACAGTATGAGCTATTTCTATGCCAAATAAGTGATTTGTAACTTACAGGAGCAGTTCTGAAAGCCATTCTTTTGAGTGTGTTAAGTTTGCTGTTTTTGTTATATGCTCTTTATATCAACTTGTTGTTGGTTGTGAACAGTTTTTAAGAAAAAAAAAATGAACAAAGTAGAAAATTTGATCCTATTAGGGCCCAAAAATTTAAAAATAGAAACTATTCTTTTAACTCAAAGGTATGCCTTTTTAAAAAATTTCAAATCTAGCACAAAATGATTTAAATTATGACATATTAATAATCTGCTTCATTTTATACCTGCTACTCCTTTGAAATGGAGGTAGCAAGGTGAGATTATACTGATATTCTCCCCCACTTTCACTACCTGTATGAGAACAGCAACTATGTCAATCATTGGCAAAATAAACTAAATTAGATCTTCTAAAATGTCTCCATTCCTATAGAATTTCCTTGTATTCCTGGAAAGGACTACTTCAATGGGTCTATAGTTTCCAAAGATAAGGGACTTTTTCTTTTAGTTTGTATTTAAAGTTACAGTTGATTTTCAATATCGATTAAATACTAGAAAAATTAGTGTGTATATCTATGTGCATACATATACATATTGACAAAATGGTGCCCTAAAAAAGCCAATGTTACTGAACAACAACTTTGTGCAAAGCATTATACATGAAACATTTCATTTGACTCCTAGATGACCCTGAGGCAGATAAATATCTCCATCTATATAGATGCAGAAACTGAGGCACAGAGAATTTATGAAGACAACTCAGGGACCCTTAATCAGAGGCATATGCTTCCAGACAATCCCATGCTACCACACACACCCATCACATATTATTCCTTTCTCTTATATACTTCTAAAAGGCAGGCTAGAAGAAAATGAGATTTCCAGGGGATGAAACATGGTCTACATTTAGTATTTCCTTTTAAGCATAGGATTTAACTACTAGAAAGGCAGGAATAATAAAGAACAGACAGTACAACAATCCATAGCCCCAGCTCAATGCTCTTGTCTCTTCACTGCATTGGAGGTACACCAGGTGATCTGATAGTTCTGTAGCCTCGAGATAAGGAAGGCAAAAGAGAAGTGGATGTAAAAAGTGAAAAACAATTTGGTGGAGAGACATCTAAGGGTGTGTATTTAATGAACTAGCTCTCTTATTTCTTGATCCCAGATAATGACAAACATGTTTCTTGAGTTTAATCCTTTGCTTTTCTTAACTTCGACTTTGACAATTTTAGAACTATTTTTAAGAACATAAAAAAA